CAGCGCGGCGCGCGGGGCCCGGCGCGGTACCCGGCGGCGCGGCTCCAGACGCCCAGGCGCCGGCGCGTGCCGTTGCTCCACTGCTGCACTACGACGGGCGCCAGACGGACGCGCGCTCCACTGGCGTCCTCGCTCCATTCGAACTTGCCCGTGAGCCCGCTATAACTCGACGTGGTTACGTCTTTTATTAATGCTCTGAAATTATATTTTTACAGACTTCAAAAAAAAGAAGGAAGTACTATGTTCGGCTGATTGTTTTTTTTTTGTTTGGCTAACAAACTTTACATTACTCCGCCATTTGTGGACCGATTTCCAAAATTCTTGTTTTGTTTAAAAGGGTATATTCCCGATATGGTCCCATTTCCATGAAGTCAGGATCTGATGATGGGATCCTAGGGAAACCGAGGGAACTTTCAAAAATTGTAGGGGCAAGTAGTACGTCTATTATGTTTTTCAATTAGAATTTTTAAACAGTACAATTTGATAAGGGTCTGGAGTCGACCTGATTATGGAGCCGAGAGACAGTCGAGAGAACTCCTCAACGGCATGCAGTAACTACCTTGTATTTGGGCTTGATTAATTTGTATTACTGAGAACTTTACACCTAAATCGAGTGGTACTATCATTATGGGTCTGATGATGAAGAAGTGTAATTGTTAAGGGAACTCTTTAACGGTTTATTGTAACTACCTTGTGTTTGGGCTTGTATAATTTGTATTGATTAGGACTTTCCACCTATGTAAATTATAAGTGACAAAACGGAAATATGTAGCTTTACACTGAAAATGATAAAATATTAAAATAAAAACTGCGTTTGTAAAACCGACTTCAAAAAACCAAAAACTAATAACAAACAAAAGGTCAAAACTAACTATCATTAGTACTGATAGGTTCCCACCCACTGATAGGTTAGAGGTGAATGTCGACGTTGCCAGCTGTTGCGCGTCAAATGTTGCCTAGTGGATACGAGGCTTCATTATAACATAACATAATATCACGCGCTTTATCTTCGAGAGAGAAGTAATGCCACTGTACACCTACTACACCTGTATACCTACTTTTCATCAATATTTATGTTATGAGTCCCAATGTAGTATGTAATAGAGGGTGAGCCTGTTGTCATATACCAGGGACATTTCCAGACTCCGACTACTAATGAGTTTTTCTTAAAAAGAACCCAGTAATACTATGCCCGACCCGGGAATCCAATCCAATGCCCGGCAGTCGCACTTGCGACCATTCGGCCAACGAGGCAGTCGTGTCACATGTGTTGGACACATAAGGAAATGTTTTAAAGGAATTGTAAAAAGTTGCTGTGCAAAACCAACCTAGATATAAAAAACGTAGAATATCAGTCGCCAGTAATAATGGCAATTATTACTTCGCTTGTGCCTGGCGGTCCGGCGAACGGATTACCTGGCGATACTCTCGTGGTGCAGGTTGTCGAGCGCGGCGGGGTGCGCCCGCAGCTGGCGCCGCAGCGCCGCGTCCCACATGCGCAGCGCGTCGTACAGCAGCGCGGCCTGCCCCGGCGCGCGCCCGCACGCGCCGCACGCGCCCCGCCCGCACGCGCGCGCGCGCAGGCATCGCGAGCGCCACTGCCGTCGCCAGGCGCCCTCCTCGCTGTCGGCGGACGCGTCGCTTCGCTCATCCCAATCTGCCAACCAGGCGGGCGCCACGCTGAGGTGTCCCTCGGCCATGTCGCGTAGTTGTTGGTGCGTGCAGTTGTGCGTGTCGGAGGCGGGCGGCCGCAGCCAGGCGGGCGGCAGGGCGCCGGGCAGCAGCCAGACGGCGGGCGGCGCCAGGCCGGCGGCGCGGCCCGCGCACAGCGCCGCGCGCACCACGCGCGCGTCCTCCGCGCACACGTACAGGATGCGCGCGTGCGCGGTCGCCGCGCGCACTGCCCACTGCACGTACGACAATGTCATAATTGATTTATTTATATTGATTTATTTATTTATATATAACTAGCTTTTACCCGCGGCTTCGCTCTCGTCACAAAAGGATAAAAAGTAGCCTATGTGACATATATCAATACACACAGCGCCATCTATACCAATACTTTTGTTTTTCCTCGGGAAATTCAATTTTTTCCGGGATAAAAAGTACCCTATTATTTAATCCGGACTTCTAACTTTACGTCTGCAAAAATTCAAAGCAATCAGTTTAGTAGTTACGGCGTGAAAGCGGAACAAACAAATAAACAAACTCACTTTCCGATTTATAATATTAGTAAGGATTCTTGGAGGAGTTATAGCTTTTAAAAATGCATAAAAATAATAATAGGCGCAAGTATCAGTGAGCCAATTCCTCCAAGACCTCACGTGTAGTATTTTGAAATGTTGAATAAATTAATTAATGTAACGCCGCAATTCAATTTCGGTTTGTGTCGGACGCACGCGCGCTACTCTAGTGGCAACACGCCACCTCACTATTATTCTTCCCCCGGGTCCCCCTACTGACCGCTCGACGCTTGCGTGGAAGCAACACATAACGAGGCCCGCGCAGGAGCCGTGACGAACGCGCCCCATATTTGTGCCGCGTATATTCCGAGTTCTTTATTGTGCAATTTTCCTTATGTTTCGTTAAAAGTTTTCATCCAATACATACTAAAAGTTTTAATCTACATTAACTCGTCGAGTACCGGTTTTGTAGACACTATTATAGAACAATGGGTTGCGGTCACCGGTGACCGCTCGGTGTTTGACAGTTTAATAGTAGTTTTTTAAGGGTGGTGTGCGAGCCTGCAATAGCTCACACAAGAGGAATGTCAATAGAATGTCACGGGAAGATTTATTAGAGAGAGTTTTGTCAAATAAAGTATACGTCAATACAGGTTGAATGCTTTTAATGCACTGTCCAACATGCGCTTATAAAAATGTACATATTAATTAGGCCGATTTGGCAATAACACTCGACAGTTAAAAATGCAAACAAACAAAAATGTAATGAAAATGGCTTGTACAGGTGGAAATCATCGAATGACTGCTCCCGCCTGGGTGAGGCGGGAAGGATTGTCAGACTCTTACTGACTAAAAACCACCCCGTTCCTTCTCCTGCACGTCGAGCCGGAGCCCCGGTTACCCGTTAGGTTCTCTGCGACACATTAATAGTATAACCCTCTCCAACCGAATAAGAATGATCGTGAGTTTCGACTTTACAAAATTCTAGGCAAATATGTAAACGACTTTAGCGGACGCAACCGGCATCGATGTATCGTGACACTATCTAAGAATGAGACAAAAAATATAAGTATTACAACTAGCTGTTGCCCGCGACTTTGTCCGCGTAGAATAATGACTTCTGGCAGAATTCATCAGAATCGATTCAGTGTCTAAGTGAGATTTATTGTGAAACAAAACTTATCGTGATTTCAAAAAATCGAAAATCCCTTAGTGATTTCACCAGTACAGTAGGAAAGAAAGAAAGAAAGAAAGTGGTTAAGAGATAGAGACTCCCGGGGCTTTAACGCATAGTTCCCGTTCCCATGGGACTTCTGTGATAAAAACTATCATACATAATTTCCCAGCTCTGAAATTATCGTTTTACCGAATGTAACTCAAAAGGATTCAATGATTCTAGATTCAATAGATTTCATGGCTAAGAAGATATATACAAACTCATTTCCTATTTTATCGCCTAAAGGGTGGAATTTATAAAAATCATTTCTTAGCGGATGTCATGTCCAATAAAAGAGCAATTGAAGCTCTAGATCGGACTTTGAAAGACATCAAGAGTAATCCAAATATCATGGGGGATGGTGGTACTTTTATTAGTATGGCATATATGATAACACCCGGACGTTTCCTCCCGCTCTATCAGACACAGGTACCTCCCGAAGCTCCCATGTCCGGTGAGGACCTGCATCAGGCGGTAGGTGAGGACGCCGTAGCATCTCTCAAGCCACTCCTCAAAGAAGGGACTTACCGCTGCAATGGCAGCGAGTCCAATTAACAAAACTTGGATCGTCAAAACCACTTTTTGAAACTAAAGAATTATGTATTGGAATTTATGATTCTATAGTACTAGAATACTATTCAGTGTAATGAGCGCAAAAACACAGACGAAATAAAAATTGTAGCTGCAAGAGTCAAAAGACTGGCACACGGTGTTTTCGTGGATAACACATAAGTCATTTCATTGTAATTTAAAATCTATATGACTTGGATTGTTTTTTATTTATTTCTAAAAAGTTTTGGTCCACATAGATCGCGCATACCGGATTTCTTTTGTCTACGCTTTCCATAACTGGCAGGAGAAGGTCGTGAATGACCATATTAATTATTCTCAGTTTACGAAATGCATTTTGTTTCTGAACTAATATCTTATGTTTATCGAGGTAGGTGTATAAAGTCGTGTATATGACTTTCTCAAATATTTTCGAAAAAATGGGGATTAGCGCTATAGGCCTATAGTTTGACATAACTTGTCTATCATATTTTTTGTACAGATAATAATCACTAAAGTTTTCAATTTTCCAGGGAAAATTCCGTTACAAATGCTCATATACATAAATTATTTGAATAAGATGTGGAGCGATGTATTGAGATAGCTCCTGAATCACCTTACTTTACTACATATGCCGTCTTATCCAACGCTATTTGTATCTCGAAGTGAATGAATATGATTTCTTGCATCTAGAGGTGCAGTCGGTTTCATAAATAAAGAATTTAAAGTATTGGAGCCTGTGTTCGTTTGGTATAGTATTATTTGGTTTAGTTTTACATTTTGACTCAGTTACCTGATTAACATACAAATTATTAAAAGCCTTTTATTTGAAGGGTTTGTGATTGTTGTCCCTGTTTGAATTTGTGAAACTGGTTCTTTAGGGAGAGTACTCTTAGAACCATTAATTGTGGTCCATGCTGCTTTGGATTCATTCTGGGACGTCTAAACGACGTAACTATTTCACGATACTTGTGTCAATTATAATCTTTTTAAACCTTGCAGAATATCTAATATTTTTACTACATTTTCGTATCCCGTGACAGAATCACTTTGATTTTCTGGTTGAAATTGTGGTTATTGTGTCGCTATTTCGTAAAACATTTGAACATTGATTCGAGTATGCTTCATTATCGTCGTTAGTGGTGTAAATGTTCAAAAATGTGAGATTTTGAATACAGTTTCTAAATTTTTCTGTATTATCACGACAATAATTTCGTCTTTTTATTCGTCAACATTGTAAGGCACATGTCTTTTCAACAGACAATTCAAAACTTGTGCAGTATGATCTGAAATACACAATTCTGATATTTCAAAGCAGTTTACATTGTGTGCTACATTGTCTAGACAGGTGCCACTGCTTAATCTAGTGGGTTGCAGAATCTGTAGCTTTAAAGGGCGTCGGTGATTATGGCACGAGTGATAGCGAAGTGTCCCCACCTGTGTGATCTTGTCCAGGTCGAGGTCGTCGGTGTCGGCGGGCAGCTCGACGTGCACGAGGACGTCGGCGGCCAGGTCCGTCACGTCCAGCGCCGCGCGCGTGGCCAGCTCGCTCAGCACGGCCACGCGGCGCCAGCCCACGTGCGCCGCGAAGGCGGCCCAGGCGGCCGAGTAGTGGCGCGCGTCGCCCGCCGCCAGCAGCGCCCAGCTGGCGGCGGGCGCGGGCGGCGGCGCCTGCGGCGTGTAG